GTCGTCGTCGCAGAGCTCTTGGCAGTTGACGTTCGGGTACCAAACATCGAGATCGTCGTGGTCTCGCATGCCGTGTGCGGCTGTGAAGAAGGTCGCGGGGTGCGCCGGTGCCATGATGGACGCGTCGTACAGCGGCAAGCACGAAGGCGGCGTCAACTGTGCAAGCCGATACGCGTGCTCATTGTGTGTTCCAATGTGCAGCTGGTCGTCGACAGAGCGCATTTTCGACCAGCGCAGGTGCGGCGGCGTTGCGTCGGTAGCATTGTCGGCGTAGAGCAGAGAGGCAAGCGTGTGGTGAGGCGCCATGCACGTGACGTCACGCCCGTCGGTCACATCTTGAAAGTGGGCAAAGCCTCGGGCCCAAAACCATGCTGTGAGGTCCATCGAGGCGTCTGTGAGCATCTACAAAAGCCACCATGTCATGCGTCGACGGCGAGAAGATTCGGACAGTACATCGATCGACGGTGCTTCTGGCGCGAGCGCTCCGTGCTCCCACATATGCTGCAGACCCGAGCCGATCGGCAGTGCGATATGACCTCGCTCTTCGATGGCCTACCGCAGGAAAGTCCATAAAGACTATGAGAGTTGCAGCCGACGTACGGCAGATGCAGCCACGACGAGATGGTGCACGGCGGCGGACCGGCACAGCGGCGACTGCGTGAAGAGCGAGTCTTGCGCGCCGGCGGCCACGCCACAAACGACCGTGCGCATGGGCAGACAGTCGGCCCAGGATCGCGTTGCGCGTGGGTCCGAGTGCCTACAAGGAGCACGATGAACCCATCAGTTCTGAGCGTGTTGGACGTCGCAGACCGTTGCAGGGCTTGAAGCGACATCGGCGGCGATGTCGAGCGCGCAAACACAGCTTCGTACTGCGTGGCAAAGGCGGTCGTCTGGTAGCTGCACTCGGCGTGCTTGGGCACATGGCTCGCCACGTGCACGCTGCGAGGTAGAGTCGTGAGGGCGTCGCAGTCATGGGACAAGGTACCTTGGCGGCGGCGTGTAGTACGCTCGGTGGACGAAGAAGACCGTCGTGGCCGCGAGCATGTAGGCGCAGACGCCGGCGAGCGTCAAGCGCTGCGTCATGGGCCCGCTGCACGTGAGCTTCATGGCGCCGAATCCAATGTGCCATCAAGCGCGGTCGGTCGAAGCTCCAGCTGGTCCTTCGCTTCGCACTGTGTTTCTGTGTTTTAGTAGGACCCACCTCTGGGAGGGGCAAACAACTGCCAAGTTGTATTTGCATTATTTTGGGCCGACCCTGGTGGTCAAGCACAATGGGGGGGCCATTCAAATGTGGACGCTAAGAAAGGCCGGGTCAACGCATGCCTGCCAAGCTGCTGGCATCCATTGACCGAATGCGATAGTGCAGGTCGCGTACAGCAGGAGCACAGGATATCGTGGCATGTCGACCGCAATGGCCGCTCTGCCTACGTCTGTAGTCGTACACAGAGCTCTAGTACTCGGAACCGCAAGGGCTGACGTGTCGAGGGCTTGGTCGTGTTCGGTGAAAAAAGCTGTAGGAGGGACGTAATGGGCTAGACAGGCGCTGGATGTCGTCGAAAAGACGTACCACCTTCAGTACTCAGGTACTATACCACGGTGTCTATCAATGGGCGCGATGGCAGAACGATACTACACAAGGGACCCAGTCCTCGGGCTTTAATGGTTCTTTATGGGGTTCCGTCGCTTACAGCGTCCTCTTGGTGAGAGTATGTTGTTGCTGCAGGTACCCTTAGAAAGACTCGAGTCCAACGTTTGCGCTACCACCTCATGCACAGCCATATGACACGTCGCATCCCACCATGGACACTCGACGTAGGACATGACGCGATCTCTGCACCCGTTGCCTTTGTGGACAGGACTGCCTTGGAGCACTGTCTGTCATACAACCTAACGACCAGATACGACCACGATGACGAAACAATGTCCCGTATTTGTCTGCAAAACCGGTCATCGCCCACAACGAGCGACCAAGCACCTTTCGCTTGGTCGCCGGTTGTTCGCGACTTGGACATCTGTGCACCGTCTCGACCGCACGACTCCCACACGAGGCAGTTCTTCGGCAGTCAAGGTTGCACGAACGTGCCATGGCATCGGCTCCGGCATCGAATCGACGGCGTTGCCCGGTTGGCGTAATTAGGGTTAGGGTCCTTGGCGCATCAAAACGCTCGAGCGTTCCCGACAGCGAGAGAGGTATCGTTTCGCGAATGACAGTGTTACCCATACGTCCAACCAAGACGATATTGTCATGCATACATGTCGCGATGGTCATGAGCCAAGACGGTCTTGCACCACAAAAACACTGGACGCAGTATACGAGACGACCTTGCTACCAAGATTACGGTGCGCTGGGAGTCGTCATATTGTCGAGCAACTGGTAGTCGCAGTACGACTCGCATGACGCCAAGTGCAGTCTCGGGTCCGTTGCGTACGTCGACCCGTACTCGGACCGGAACATGGCTTCCGGAAACTGAATGCTCGGCACGTGGTTGCCAAAGATCGTCTCGTGGCATGTGAGCGGAAACATGTGCGGCACGGGCAGCTCGGCTTGGGCCGTCTCGACGTGGATCTTGCGGTCCTTGACGCGCCGCCACATGTACAAGTCCAAGTACGGCGTCCCATGCACCGACTGGTTTGTCGTCACGAGCGTGTGCTAGGGTATAAAATACTAGAAAATCGAAACGTTGAGAAGTAGCAAGCGAGCAACGTACGTTTGGCGCATATAGTAGCGACGCGAGCGGGTGGTGCGATGCGACGCACGCGCCGTGGATATCACGTTCAAACACGTAAAAGCCCCGGGCCCACATGGCGTCTTGCACTCTTGGCCAGTCCGTGCTCGACGGCAGGACAATGTCAATGTCGGGGGTGTGCGGGATGATGGCCTCGTCACGCCATGCCCCTAATAGCACATTTTAGTTAGTCGTCATGTCGCATAGTTCTTCATAATGCATACCGAGTAGGGTGCCAAAGTAGACAAACGACGGGAGATTCAGCTCTTCGACGACTTCGAGCATGTTTTCGAGCAGCAGCTGGAGCACAGCCGACCGGCATGGCTTGCCTTGCGGCGTTTCGAAGAGCGTCGGCTTGAGACCGCGTCGTGCACCGCACTGTTGCGGCTTCATCGGGATGCAGTACTCCCACGGCTTGCCTTCGCGGAGCTTGGTCGTGTTGCTGAACGGCGTGAGGTACGGCAAGTGGTCGTCGTTGAGCTGGAGCGGCAATGGATGGCTTAAGTACGTGGCCAAGCGCGCGTTGTACTCGGCGTCATCCCGCAGCGGGCAGTGAGGCACGTTGGCTTTAACGTCGCGAAGGCTGTAGAGCGTGTCGTCTTCACAGAGCGCTTCGCAGTGTGGCCGCGGCCCCTTGACGTCGTGGTCGTCGTGCTGCCGCATGCCTTGGGCGGCTGTAAAGAACGTTGGGGAGTGCGATGGCGCCGTGATCGACGCGTCGTAGAGTGGCAAGCACGCTAGCGGAGTCAGCTGGGCGCGCCGGTATACATGCTCTTTCTGAGGCGCAATGTGCAACTGGTCCTTGATGGTCTGCAGTGTCGACCAGCGCAGGTGCGGTGGCGTCCCATCCACTGCCTCGTCCGCGTAGAGAAGAGTCGCGAGCGTGTGGTGGGGTGCCATGCATGTGACCGCGCGGCCGGCCGTCTTGTCGAAAAAGTGGGCCAACCCCCGGGCCCAAAGCCATGCTGTGAGGTCCATCGAGGCGTCCGTGAGCATCTAAGAGCATTGCACCGGAATGAACCTGCGCAGATCTACATGTCGGTCGGGTGTCGTACGTCGATGGCCTTAGCGTTGGGTGGCAGCGCGCCGTGTTCCCAGACGTGTTGGAGACCCGAGCCAATCGGCATGGCGGCATGACCTCGCTCTTCGATGGCCTGCAAGAAGCACACTTGCATGAGATGCGTTGACGTACGAGCGGAAACGTACGGCGGCAGTCGCGACGACCAAGTGGTGCAAGACCGCGGACCGGCACGGCGGTGATTGGGTGAAGAGCGAGTCTTGCGAGCCGGCGTTGACACCGCAGACAACCGTGCGCATGGGCAGACAGTCGGCCCACGATCGCTGCGTCTGCGCATCCGAGTGGCTACAAGAACACGCAAAATGAGCCAAGACGGCCTGTATAAATCGCGTACCGTCGCAGGGCTTGCAGCGACGTTGGCGGCGACGGTGCGCTTGCATAGATAGCTTCATACCGCTCGGCAAAGGCAGTTGTCTGGTAGCTGCAGTCGGCGTGCCGCAGTGGTGTGTGGCTCGATGCATGGCTACCACAACGGTGATGACCACGGTGGTTGCTGACAGCGGTACCTGTGATAGGTGGTCGCCGTGTACTGGCGGTGGACGAAGAAGACCGTCATGGCCGCAAGCATGTAGGCGCAGACGCCGGCGAGCGTCAAGCGCTGCATCATAGGTCCCTTCAGAAGGCGTGGCCACGCGACCTTCATGGCGGCAACTCTGAAATGCTGAGCCAGCGCTTTGGTTGCGCGTCAACAGCTGGTGGCCTTTTTGGTAGGACCCCATCCGTATTTTTATTTCAATGATAACGTATCTTTTATCATTTGTATGGATTATTTATTGTATTTTTATTGGGTAGGCCCGGGTCAAAGGTGTGTTGCTGGACGACCACCACGCGCAACCTATGCCGGCTTGTGCAGAACAGTTGGGTAGGATGACTATGTACTACATAGTCATTCTTGGCTACATACTATGTAGCCAAAAAGAGACGCTAGTACTGACGCAGATGGAATAAAACTGTGTGACTATTGTATTGGAAAAGTTTGTAATTCTCTTGGTCCAGCGTCGAAACTTTCGAAGCCATAACAACAGCTGTATTGTCCGGCAGCTTTGTCCGAGGTGTAATGCTGCGCTGGAGCTATCGGCTGGTGACACAAACCCCACGTGAGGGCAGGCTCGACTCATGGGACCAAGCCATTTTGAGACCAAGCCGATGCTGCATCTCTCTTTGCTCGGTGTCCGGGCCAATTCTGGTTCTTTACTTCTACGTCAGCACCGATCCGCCACCTCCGTGTCTGGTTCAACATCTGGCGAGACGGCAACGATCGCATCTTCTGAAAGGCGTGCCAAGCTCATGGCGATTGCCGTCAAGGCGGCGCGGGCAGCTCAACTGCACTTTGCAACCTCGTTCAAGAGCCCGAGTTGCCCGCTCTTCGTCGGCTCTACCATACCTTGTCCGGCGGATTGTCCTTTGATCTCAACCCAGCGTTCCCAACGAAGACAGACCAGCAATTTATTTAGCGTGTAAAGTGGGTGTGTTGCGGCGCAAGCAGCCGAAACAAGCATTTCGGGGGTTGCGAAGCCACGCGCATTTTAGATTTCAGCTCCCGTGAACCAACCCGCCACTCGTCCCCTGGGCGGGACCCTTTCCTGAGCCCACCCGCGTATCGAAATGCGTGGAATAATGGTCTGTTGGTATTGGCATTGTGTTGGGCTCGAGCGCAACAAACGAGTCTTCCGCGCAATACTGGCGAACCTTCCCGCTGCAGCGCTTGCTCTCAAGGCAGCTACTGTTGCACGTTGGCTCGTCCGGCACTGAGCCCGGCGGACTGCGTCAAGGACGAGCTCGTCAAGATCGAGTACGCACAAACGAGCCAGATGACCATGGAGCGGAAGTCTCTTCTACACTCGTATGCTATCTCGACGGACCACAGCGATGTTCGGATCGACGAGACGAACGGCTGCACTGACACGGCCGCTACATGGACACCAAGCACATGAAGGCAGCTTGCGAGTCTCTTCTCGCTGCCATCAAGGTCACTGCTCCTCACGCCGATACTTTTGACAGTCAGGACACAATAAGAGGCACACAAGGACGTCTCGCCGTCCGTCAACTCTCCACCAGCGGCTATGACAAACTTGCTACAACTCTCTAGAGCGCGCAGCGCCCGCCGGCTCAACATTTGCGCCAATTGGGCTTGGTGATGAGACTCCATATCCAGCTCGTCCAGTCCATCTGCAACGACGCGCGAAGCTGAAGTTGCCAAGCCAAAGCCTCCAGTGAAGGAGCGTGCAAAGCGCGTGGTGGTGCTCGGGGCGCAAGAAGCCAACGGACCAGCACCCACGGGACGCGTTCAAGCCTGCCGAAGTTGGCGAGGTCAGTGTTTACGACAACCATCACGCCCTGCAGTAGCACGCGTGATGCGTCGTGCACTCACGTCATCATCACCAGGACTTCGAGTCCTGGGAAGTACAGTGCGCCTTGTTGTCGCAACAGATCCAAGCGCTCGAGTACTCGAGAAGGCGCTGGTGTGAAATCATTTCATGCTTCTTAGCCCCAACTGCCGGAGCTCCCCGCCGCAGCTGCAGTATCATTTGACGGTGCTTATATTTAGTGCATGACGGTATTCCCTTGACCTATCACACGTCCACGGCTCTGCATTGCACTAGTTACGCGAATGCTGGACAGCAAACAATGGTTTATCTATAAATTTGGACTTAATGGAGGCGTGCGGCAGCCACGACTTGGTCAATGACGGTGAGGTACGTGCGCGCAAAATGCGTGTTGAGATGCAAGCCGTAGCACATGACCGGGTACCCGTCGGCGTCGGTGATCATGATTTCGTCGCCGAGCGAGTAGTTGTCGGCGTAGTCGATGAGCGTCGCGCCGGCACCCTTGACCATTGCATGCAGCGGGTCGAGGAGCCACTTGTACTCGCGGTTGAAGGCGCTTCTGTACATGGGCTTGGGCATCGTCACCGTGTCGCCCGAGATCCATGAGGACGGGTTCATCGCTTCGTACTCGGGGCTTTGATCGACGACAAAGACGTGGATGCCCATGTCAGTAAGCTCTTTGAGATCCTTCTCCATGATCGACCACATGGCATTGACGTCGTGCACGGATTGCTCGGGGCATTGACGGTCATCGTCGTAGCAGCACTGGGGCGGCGCCGTATACGGCAGCGAGTCGGGGCCCGTCGGGTGCACGTACTGGTAGTAGTGCTGGACAAGGAGCACCGCCTGGGGCTTGACCGACTTGACCATGGCCAAGTTGGCGTAGTACTCGGCCCGGCACGGCATGAGCGGCCGCCCGGACCAGCTATTGATCGCAATCGTCGGGAAATTGGTGTCGTTCTGGGCGACGGCGTCGTCGTAGAGCTGGGCGAGGCGCGGCTTGGTCATGTCCGAGTGCGAGTCACCGAGCACAATCAAGAGGCCGTTGTCCTTCTCGTGGCCGGGGTTGACGAGGAAGACGCCACCGGGAAGAAAGTAGTTGTCGCGCGTACGAAAGTTGGCGGGGTAGGTTGCTTTTTTTAGGTACGGCGAGTCCTTCGGGCACTCACTGAGCCCTTTTTGCCAGTCGCCATCGTAAATGGCCGCCCGCGCTTGCTGCAACGACGCAGGCACGTTCCCGACAGTAGGACCGGTCACCCCTTTCTCCACGACGCGGGGTGGCGCGTGTGGCACATTGCGCAGGCCAATCTCAATCAGCGAAAAGTCCGACGGGTGGGCGTGCACCATGGCCGATACCACCGCGAGGCCGACAACACACAGCACGAGAAGAGGCGTGATCCACTTGGCTTTGCGTCGGCGGAGCCGCAGCTCGACGTCTTCGTATGTCGCGATGCTCAAGACTACCGAGACGAGGAGCAGAATCCACGGCTCGGCAAAGAACGGGCGCGGCGCCGACGCGGGGTACCGGTCGCCGAAAATGACAAGGAGCGGCCAGTGCCAGAGGTAGAGACAGTAGCTGATTTTGCCAATGTATACAACCACAAAGTTGCTTAGGACGTACTTGTTGAACGGCGCATGCGGGCCTGCGGCAATGAGCAATGTCGCACCGGTGGTTGGAAGAAGCGCCCAAAAGCCGGGAAACGCGCGATGCTCGTCGATGGCAGCAAAGCCGATGAGGACGAGGCCAAGCCCGAGACCGGACGTCCATGCGCCTGCACTCGGCGACGATGCAGTACCGGGCTCCTGGAGCAGCGTGAACGATACCGCTGCATGGGACGTGACGTACGCAAGGAGCCCACCCATGGACATTTGCCAAAAGCGGCAGAGCGGCATGTAGAACGACACCTTGTTGCTGCGGTAGCCGAGAAATGCAACGTTGATCAGAAAGCTCAAGGCCATAAAGGCCACTTGGAACACAAGCGCGCGCTTGTGCGAGAGCTTCACGAGGATCGCGCAAAAGCACGGCCATAGAATGTAGAACTGCTCTTCGACGCCGAGCGACCAGAGGTGCAGCACCGGGTTCGCACCCAGATCAAAGTACGCCTTCTCGAGCGAGAGCACTTGGAGGTTGGCGCTGAAGAGCGTGCCGGCAAACATGGTCGCCGCCATGAGCTTGAGCTTGGGCGCCATGAGGTAGAGGTACCCGAGCCAGAGCGTCGCGCTCAGCACGATGATGAGCGTCGGGAAAATACGGCGGACGCGGCGCTCGTAGAAGCTGCCGTACGTAAAGCTGCCGCGCTTGTGCTCCTTGAAGAGAATCCCGGAAATGAGAAACCCGGAAATGACAAAGAAGATGTCGACGCCAATGAAGCCGCCTGGAAGGAGCGTCGGGTACGCGTGGAAGATGAGGACGGGGACAACTGCAAGCGTCCGGAGGCCGTCAATGTCGGGCCGGTAGCTGTGCGTCGGCGCATGGTCGCTCGATGCCTCGGTCGACACGTGCGAGAGCAAGCCAACCTCGGGCTCCGAGTCCAACGCCGTATCGGGCAGCCGATCGTGGATGTCCGCCATCCTGTTGGCAAGTGTTCTTCTACGGTTTGGTTGAAATAGCCCCAACCGACCAGTCGCGACAGTGTTCGAGATTTTCAAAGCTGCTGTACCGACGGAATCTCAACCTTCTCCATCTCTGCTCCGAGACTACAGTAGTATCGCTCGGGGCCCGCATGGTCCTATCGACACATGGATGTAGTCGTGATTGCGCCGGGGAAATGCTAAAATGCGTTGGCCACTGTGTGATGTTTAACATTGTGGTCACCTGACTCTGGCGAAAAAGCCACTCAGGGAGCCGATACACTGTACTCTCTCCTACGCGGCACCTTCATACTGTGCTCGTTCGAAAAATCGCTGGTGGTGCCGAGCACCTCTCCTTGTTGGTCCCGAGCGCCGTCGGCACAAGCTCGATCTGGCAGAGGGTTCTAGTATTTAGTGATGGTCCATCCGCGAAATGGAAACAAGATGATGTTGCAGCGAGGTTTCTAAAGCCATGGCTCCTTCACAGAACCCGACCCTGTTCATAAGGGGGTTTCAAAGGTGAAAAATGGAAGGGCAATTTTAAGTGCAGTAGTGCAAGAGGTGTGTTCTGTGGGAAGGCCGAATCATTTCCCGATTTGCAGCCTGTATAGCATACTGCTAAACCCGCCTCGCCCGCCACCAGACGAGCGGGGCACCAATACATTCTATGCCCCAAAGCGCTCGGCCTTTGATAGAGAAAAAGCCATTGGCAATGGCCTCGCCAAAAATCGCTTGATTTATAGCCAATAAAACGTGTTTGCTTTCCGGAGGCATTCCGGTGGCCGAAATGCGTCCATAATTTGATTCGTTTTCATTGCATGACGTCCCGGGCCGAGGACATGGCGGTCCTTGCGCCAGCGTACCTCCTCTTGAGATCCTCTCAACAGGTCCGCTGCCATATCAATGGTCTTGCAGTAAAGAACAATCTGCATCGTCTTGGTTGCGCACCAGGTTGTGGGTGTCGTTGGGCATAGCGGACGTCGCCCTCGTGGCATCGTCCTTCGTCTCGATGTTGATGAAACGTTCTTCACGGTCGGCTGCAGAGAGCCTTCCGCGCATGTCCTTGTAGGACTACTCGGCTCGCATGCGCGCTGGCTTGGCGCACATGCCCCTGTTCAAGTAGACTACCTGACCTTCTTGCCCGCCGCGTCTAACAGCGCGGCCGCGCGCTCTCAAAAACCTTGCGAAATTTGATGGCCTCACTTCTCTCCATCATGGACTCGCTCCATGGCCCAAAATCGACCCTGGAGATTGCAATGGAGTTGCCTCGACAAGGGAGAAATTCGCTTCCTTTTTGTCCAATCAGCGCGCCGTATTTTCGAAAGTTCATTTTTTCGAACTCCATTGAAATCTCCATTTTCAACTTTGAAACCCCCTAATAGGTCGGGTTCTGTACCCGACCTGGCGAATGCGCAAAACTAAATAGAAGGTTGTCTATCAGCGTGAAAAAGAAATCAGACGTGGATAGTGCTTGACTACCCCGGCAGTCATCATCATCGTTCGAACAAACTGCACTATATCCGGATATGGAAGGCACCCTGGCTTTGATGGCTGTTCAGGATACTAGTACCATGGCAACAACGACGTTAGCGATCAGGAGGTTCCATGGATCTTGAGCTCGGAAGCGACGAGGCGTGTGGAAGTACCGCGATTGGAAACCTCGTTTTCTTTATTTATTCGAAAGTTCGTTGCAGCCCCTCACAGTCTGCAACCTTCTTCTTTCGATTCGGCTCGCAAACAAATGCGAGGCACTGCTGTCGTTCTTTCTTGCGTAATAACATGGATGCATTTACACTAGAGTGTCCCTCTGACTATACGTTTACAGTAATGTCATATTGGACCAACAGTGATTGGGACCAACAAGATCGCGGAATCTTTTTATCCGGCGGTCGACACCAACAAACCGTAGAAGCTTTGCAATCATGCACGCTTGTCGGCGCGCGCAGTTTTCGACTTTGACGATGAGAGCAACCTGCACACCCACGCTCCAGAGGCGGGCGATTGTCGGTGCTTGCATCTACATGACAGTAATGTGCCTTCTTTTGATCTGGCACCGACCCGACGATCTCGAAGCCGTCGCACGAGTGTGAGGCGGAGCTTCAAGCCGACGCCGGTCCTACGATACCCGTGGACCAGTACGACGCATTTAGCGTAGACGCTTTCTCAACACATGTGCTAGGACCTCCCACCGTAAAGAAACAGACACCACCTCGACGCCCGAACCAGTCACCACAGCCATCGTGGTGCCAACGCCCGAAGCAGACAACTGCGTCTATCAAAGCCGTAGCTTTACCGAGCGCTACGATGCGCTCGTGGAGAGCCTGATTCAGCCGCCCCCGATGATCCAGTCGCTGCTCCGGTACGCCATTCCGGTCGCATGCTTGCTTTGTACCGAGATGTTTCATGGCTAGCGTGGCGACGTACGACGAACTGAGAGCGCGATCCTGGTCCGACTGCCTTCCGCTGCACACCGTCGTCTGCGGTGTTACTGCGGGCTCTCAAGACTCGCTCTTCACCCAGCATCCGCCGTGCCGATCTGCGATCGTGCACCACCTACTCGCGACGGCGATAGCCGTGCGTCCTATTCTCGCTATTATTTGTGCAGCGCGAGTCCCAAGTGCGTGCTAGGTTGTGCGCGAGCGCGGGCGATCGGCTGTGCTCACGGGTGCTGCGCTCCAGCATGTGTGGGTCTTTGGCGCGCTGCCGCCACAGATGCCCACGGCTCGCGTACGTCGATCAACAGAATGCCATTTAAATACATTGTCTCCATGTAGGTACTGCTCACAAACACTACGGACGATCTCAGCGCCGCGCTGTGGGCCCGCGGTTTTGCCCACTTTTACGACGAGACGAGTGGCGACACCGTCACGTGCATGGCACGCCACCACGCACTCGCCACTGTCGTGAACGCTGGCGATGCGCCCCCCGACGTGCTGCCGCCGCACCTGCGTTGGGAGCGTCACAACGAGCAAGTGGCGCCATCCACATGCCTTTCGCTCTACGACGTGGTCATTCGGGCACCGGAGCATCCCGAGACGATCGTTTCGGCAGCGCAAAGCAAGGACGTAGACGCGGCGATGCTCGTGTACCCCAACCCGAGTTGTCAAGCGCTCTGCGACCACGACACCCCGGCATATCAACGCGACGTCCCCGCCAAAGTCGCGCAGTGTCCGCGGCGCGACGATGCCGAGTACAACGCTCGACTAGCCACGTATTTGGAGCACCCCTTGCCGCTCAACATCTCGCCCGCGCACGCTCTGAACATTACACCGTTCAGCAACACGACCAAACTCCGCGAAGGAAATGGGTGGGAGTTTTGCATCCCAATCAAGCCGCAGCAGTGTGGCGCACGGCGCGGCGTCAAGTCGACGCTCTTTGAGACGCCGCAAGGCAAGCCGTGCCGATCGGCCGTGCTCCAGCTGCTGCTCGAAAACATGCTCGAGGTCGTGGAAGAGCTCCATCTCCCATCGTTTGTCTACTTTGGCACCCTACTTGGTACGCATTATAAAGAACTATGCGACTTACTCAAATACTTACTCAAACTAGGCGCGTGGCGTGACGAAGCCATCATTCCGCACACGGCCGATGTCGACGTCGTCCTTCCGTCCTTTACAAACTGGACCCTCGTCCAAGATATGATGTGGGCCCGGGGCTTTTATGCCTTTGTGCACGATATCCACCGCGCCTGCCTCGCGTCGCACCACCCGCTCGCGTCGCTTTTGTATGCGCCGAATGTAGGTCTTTCAAATCTTACGTGGCAGCGTCTCATTGCGTCTTTTGCGTAGCAAACCCGAACGGACTCGTCGATGCATGGCACGCCGTACCTGGATCTGTACATGTGGCGTAAAGAGTACGAGCCGGCCAGCGCGCGTGTCGAGGTCGAGACGGCCTGGGTCAAGCTCAACGCGTCCCAAGTATTTCCGCTGACGTGCAACCACACGATCTTTGGTAGTCCCGTGCCTGGCATCCAACACCCGGAAGCCATGTTGAAGAGCGAGTACGGTGACACGTACGGCGTGGACCCGAACTTGCGTCTGGCAGCGTGCGAGTCGTACTGTGACTATCAGCTTCTCTCCAATATGTCGGCAGTGTCGCGCTCCGTAGGCTAGCATTGGATGGGAGGCGCGATAGACGAGTCCTATACAGTGAACAATATACAAGTCGTAGAACTGAGGATGTGTACAAGCATCGATATGCTGCTGGAATGAGTTATTAACATGCAACGCTAGCGGATATGTCATCTCCTGAGCTCGAATGGCCGGTGCGTAGCGTCAATGGTTGTGGATAGGGATTGTGCTAGGAAAGGGAAGGCGGAGAGCGTCAAGTGAAGCAGCAAGCAATGGCGCGACGGGCCAAGTGCCGGACATGCAGTCGCGCGATAGTAGCTGCTTGGTACTAGTACTACTGTAGTAGCTACCAAAAGCGGGTATGTTTGTCATCGTAAGACTCGGCTGCTGCGTTCAAGCCATAGACAATACCAGACGCAGGCTAGTGCCATTACGACCGGCCAGAGGGCACGAACGGGCGACGGACTTGAGCCAACATGTTGACACGGTTCATTGCAAAAATTTCGAAATCAACCACGAATTAAAAATATTTTAATATTTTTGCAGCTGGAGCAGCGAGATTTGCTGAATCGAGTTCCAGCCTCTTCACGGTTCTTGATGGGAGCACGAGCGGTCGTCGAGTAGGCACTGATCCCGCACAGGCCAACGCGGTGCTAAATGTCGTCTTTCGCTGTGCAAGCAAATAGACTGTGTTGAGTGGCGGTGTGGACACGCGTAGGAGCCTCTGGGGAGCCTTCTGGGAGGTTCCTGGCTTCTTGTTCCGTGCTTGCTACCAAACGAGTTTCGAATCAACTCGAGTCGACACGCCAGTGCTCCGCCTGCAATCCACCCAAAACCGCCTGATCTGCAACGTTTGGGCAATGTTTATTCAACGACCGTCATATCCAAGAGAAACACAAACCATGGAACGTCGACGCAAACGTGCGGCTACCTGCCAGTGGCTCCTGCCACCCATGCCTGGCACCACAGCAAAACGAGGTTCCACACAATCGGCCAGATGTTGCGCACGTTAGTTGATATATTGAAATAATTCAAATCATTGGCGCTTATGTGGTCCGATTCAAAAAACAAATGCAATAGTCCCACATGGGCAGCAACCTCGGGCTGGCGTGGCCGTACCGGTAGGAAAATATTCGGTTCGTCAAAATGAACGTTGCGTTTGCCAAGCCCCCTTCGCATCCATCAGATTCGCCGCCTCACATCGCGAATCAGATGCCACAAGGAAATATGGAAGCAAGGCGCAGCTTCCAATATCAGTGGTTGCTTTCAAGCCCAACGACTCGTTATGGAGAACAAGCGAATGTGCGAGCAACGTTTTGGTTTGGACTTCGTCATTTTGCAGAAACAACATTTTTCAATTTGAGCACCATGAAAACAGAGCACATGATGGAGAGCGACCGTCCACCCCTCGTCCGCTTCGACTTGGTTCACGACGGTGACCCAGTATCACTGTCCGGGTATCGACCCGACATTGACGGGCTACGCACGTTCGCGATCGTGTCTGTCCTTGTCTTCCACGCGTACCCGACGCTTCTTCCCGGTGGCTTCACGGGCATCGATATTTGCTTTGTCGTTTCTGGCTTTCTCATCTCGGGCGTTCTCTCCAAGCAGCACAAGCACCGTCACTTTTCGTACATCAGCTTCTGCGAGCGCCGCGTTCGCCGCACCATGCCGACGCTCATCGTTGTTCTCGTGATGACACTCTGGCTCGGGTACATCTTCCTCCGGGGCGTCCCGCTCAAGCACATGGTTGCGACGTTGAGTTCCACCGATGTGCAAGCACTCTCGCTCGAGACAGCGTCCTCCAAGCACGGTAGCAACCCGCTGCTGCATCTCTGGCCGCTTGGTGTCGGCGGCCTCTTCTATATTTTCTGGCCGTGCGTTTGCATTGTCCTCATAAAACAGCCATACACGCGAGCCGTCCAGCTCCAGATTGCATTTTTGGCGCTCAGCTTTCTCATCAACATTATTGCGTCCGTCGAAAAAAACCACGGCAACATGGCCGTGTTCCTCATGCCGCTCGGTCGGTTTTGGCAGCTGTCCATGGGCGGCCTCCTCTCGTATGTGATGGCAGAGCAAGCGACAACGTCCTTGACACCGCTCACCGATTCATCACATTTTGGTGCATGGATGTCGGCAGCCGGGCTTGGCCTCGTCGTCATCGGGCTCGTATTTATTGAGTCTCAAAGTGCTTTTCCGGGCATTTGGGCGCTTCTACCGACCGCCGGTGCGACCTTGCTCCTTGCCGGAGGCCCCCAAGCGCCGTTCAACCGCTACGTCCTGAGCAACACGATGCTTATGCAATTTGGCAAGATCAGCTACGGACTCTATCTCTGGCACTGGCCGCTCCTTGTCATCTCCAACCACCAATACCCGCCAGCGACAAGCCGTCCGTTCACCGTAGAACCGTGGTGCATGCTGCTGGTTTCCGTTGCCTTGAGTATCATCACGCACGGGGAGGTCGAGCACCCGCTGCGCAGGAGCACCGCCAAGTGGATCACACCCGCGATCGCGCTTTGTGTGTTGGGCCTTGCCGCGGTTGTGGTGACGTTGCACATGCTTTGACAATGTCTGTCGCACGGGGTTTTGGACAACATTATATATGACCATGTTCCGCATTATCGTCGTTTGTACACAAAGACTTTGCATACGTAGCGCTACGCCTGAATGCGTGGGAGTTAGCACTTGGTCGTTGGGAGTGAGCTGCGTACGGAGAGATCCATCCCGTGGTGGACCCCACTCGCCGAGTCATAGCTCGCGCGAGGTCGTACGCAGGCTCCTGTACTCGGACCACACAACATTGTTTCTCTAACGACAGAATGTACTCGTATGTTTGTATCGCGTTTAGGGCTGTGAATTGAGATCTAGGCTATGCGATGCAGACTCGAGGTGGCTGATTTAGCAAGGCCATTTAACCGCAAACATTATAGCCCAAGCTCCTTTCGAAATGGCGCGTTGATACATTCAACGTTGCGACAGACCTCGCCAGCAGTCTTGCGCGCCAGCACGAAAGTACTTGGACAACGTCTTCCCACATGTCGCAACTCTATGACGTTGCTACTTCCTCTTCTTTGGTTGTTATTAATGGTTCGTGCGCTGGACCTTCTGCGTCCAACGCTTCTTTGACTTTTGCAAGTCTGCAGTGTACTACTGGTCGCGTTGCGTTGGCTTCGATGACACCCGTGGTGTCACGTCCAATCAGCGGACGAGATGCGCGCTGCTCTAGACGCTTTGCTACCGGCGATGAGCGACAGCGTCGCGCTGATACCGTCCCGACTTGGGCGGGCTTCAAACCGTCGTGGTCCCGTGCTCGGTGCTACTTGGTGCGAGCGAAACGCCCGTTGGGCTGCCACGTAATTTCCGCGGGCAAGGACGCCATTTGATTGGCTCCCGCCGAATTCGGCTTTCGGATTGGCCAAAATACTCGACACCTGGAGCTTGTGATTGGGCGACTTGTTTCATTCGCCACCAGGATGACCGAGCGCGTGGTCCTCTCGCCGACAAGGACTAGGATCAAGCTCGAGCCCGGCCTCGACGAGCGCTCTGCCTGGGGCGCCTACGACGATGACGATGACAGCAGCAACATGGAGACGCTCCTCGCTGCGCCGGTCTTGGCGGATACGACGCATGCCAGCTTGGTGGCCTTCCGCGACGCCCGCGCTCGCTACGAGGTCGCGTGTGAAGCCAAAGCACATGTGCACACGCGCCAGTCCATCCTCGCGACGATCGCACCGCCGACGCTGCGGTTCCTTGCGCACTACAAGCTGTGCATGGCCGAGGCCGCGATCACCGACGCCGACATCCTCGCGTGGATCGAGCGCGAGCTGGCCACGACGATGCCCACGTCGCTCGAGGCCGTCGTGCAGCACTACCGCGTGCACCTCATCATGGACATGCGCATTCCCGACGCCCGTGCGCGCGTCGCCACGTACTTTATGCGCGCCAACGAGATGGCCGACGCCAACAACTTTCGCTTCGCGGGCGCCAAGCTCTTTTGTGACATGCTCGTCGAAGGCGTGCGGCCTCGCGCGCTGCGCCGCGACGTCGAGCTTCTGCTGCACGTGCCCTCGAACGCCGACGCCAAGTGCGACGACCGCCGTCTCTTTAACCTCGTGGAATCCTGCGCTGTCGCGCACCAGGCACGGCACCCGTGGCGCCGCCGCCGTCGCCGCACCGTCCCCGGGCGTAGCGTGCAACTGCTACGCACTACGGATAGCGCAGCATGGCGGTCGCCCGACGTGCTTTATCTGTAGCTGCATAAGCAGAGTGAAGACGATGTATTTCAGTTGGCGGGTGTTGTTGGACGACGGTTCGATCCCGTCCATGTTGGTCATTCTTTTGCTGTTTATTTTCTCATGTCAAACTACTCGATTAAGTCTTGGGCATCGTCGTCGTCGTCACCGTCAAGGTCGTCGGCGTCATCCAGCTCCAACTCGGACCAGTCATTCTCGTCGGAGTCATAGACTGCTGCACGCTCCAGACGTCCGTGATCGACAAAGAAGGCTGCGACCGCCTCGACGATCTCGGGCAGCACACTCGGGTGACGACGAGACAGCAGCTGCTGCAAGAGATACGCCGTCGCGATGCCACTGCCACACCGTCCCGCAATCTCGATCGCCGTCTCGCCTTGCTACACCATGTCATCGTTATAGCCTCAACCAGGGCTAGGGTTTGATGGACCGTATTGGTCATCGTCACATCCAAGCGAGTGTTCTGGCAGAGACGGTGCCAGATGCGCTCGGCCGTCGGGTGCAGAAAGGCCACGTGCATGAGTGCCGTGTTGCCGTCCTAGCGTATATATTGCGATACATCAACATGGAAACAGATGACAATATCGTACATCGTCGACCGCGTTGACGTTGATCGTGGGCTGCGACAGCAAACACTCGACCATTGCTTCGTTGCTGTAGAGACACGCGACCATGAGCGCAGTCTTGCCTGTCTTCTACAACCAACAACGGTCAATGCATGGACTTGGATCGTCCAGACTAGCAAATGAGACCGTACGCAGCTGGCGACGGTCGCATCGGTGCACTCGTGACGGTTCGTGGAGGCTACCCACTCGACCTTGGGGTTCATGTAGCGGAGGTTCGCAGCGGCCAACGAGTCGGGCTCCATCGCCTCCATCCACGCCAGCGTCGAATCGTTGTCGTCACGCGGTCGGTCGGGCACGACCAGCGCCTTGTTGACGTCGATACGGGCTGCAAGCGCTTGTACAAGCGATACGTTTTGGCTGTTGACGGCCCGGAGCCAGGGCGTCAAGCCCGCCTACGTACCCAAGTCGAATCGAAATCGAAATGTAGCAGACCTCGTCGGCAATCTCAGCGTTCGTCGTCGGGTGCTGTACAAGGGGCGTAACCAGCGAAATGTTGTTCAAGCGCACTGCGATCGGGAGCGGTCCATTCGGGGTCTACCGACGCCTGCGTTTACTGGTTCTATGCATACGACGTACGGTGCCGACAGCCATGCGCGGGTGATCCAGCAGCAAGGAGGCCACATGCACGTCACCCGCCAGGCACGCGAGCATCAGCGGCGTCTGCCGTTTCTACATGTCGACCAGACGCGTAGAAGGACCTTGCTATGTGACGGGACCGAACCTTGTTCATCGCGTTGACATCGATTCTGTCGACGCCAAGTAGCAGCGGCACGAGCCGACCCGCGTGCTTGCTGCCGGACGCCGCATGGAGCGCCGTCGTACCCGACTAGTTGACACCATCGGTATGAGATGGGAAAGTGATGTAGTGTAGTACGTCGTTGGCAGCGTTGACGTCGCAGCCACCGTGTGCTAGCAGCGCTTGCACGATGCCAGGATTGCCTTGGCGAGTTGCCAATAGCAAGGCCGAGTTGCCGTGCTACCCACGATGACGCGTCACGTGGGAACATTGAACGAGATACTACCTTGTCCCGGACACTCGTGTCGATCTCTGGCTTCTCCAAGAGGAGCTGGACTATCTTGACGTTGCCTTGGTTGAGGCACACTTGCAATAGCGCCGTGAGCCCGCTCTGGTCGAGTCGCGGGGATTAGGGTTCCATCGTAGGGTTAGGTTTCCTACCGCATCCCGGTAGTTGACGTCGATCTCGGGCGACGACAGCAGCTTTCGCACAACATGA